CATAGCCACATCAGTATAGGCAACGCAGGAAAGCCACCCGAGCATAGCCACCTCAGCATAGGCATCTCAATCTAGCCACCTCAGTGCAGGCATACCTCTTATAGCACTGCCTCTGACAACGTTGTTTAAATAAATTCATTGAACTCAGTGCTGCAGCTTCCAGTCCAGGTGGAAGAGGTAAGAAGAGCAGGTGGAGGGAGGGAGCATGAGGAAACCGCAGGGAGGCAGGAGGGAGCAAGAGGGAGCAAGAGGGAGGGAGCAGGAGGGAGGGAGCACGGGCGACCAGGAGGGAGGGAGCATGAGGAAACCGCAGGGAGGGAGGGAGGAGGGAGCAAGAGGGAGGGAGGAGGAGCAGGAGGGAGCAGGAGAGAGGGAGCAGGAGGGAGCAGGAGCAGGGAGCAGGAGGGAGCATGAGAGGCAGCAGGAAGGAGGGAGCAAGAGGGAGGGAGCAGGAGGGACCACGTACCTCACTTCCACCTCGGGCTTGTTGTGCCGCTCCACGACTTGCGAGGAGAAGTTCTCCAGGCAGAGTGTGGCCTGTAGCGTGGCACGCACCGCATTCAGGTAGGGCCGCAGAGTCGCCGTCTGTACCACACACACGCACGCGTGCATCAAGGCGCACGCGCACACAGGCAGAAAGCGCTATTGTTGACTATTACGTAATTTTATTTTGGTCAGGACAGCCTCACTGAGACTCATGACTTTTTTTTACGAGGGTCCTCCCAAGTTTATTTCAGGTCTCAGCGAATGGTTTGTGTATACCGAGTAAATTGATGATCCGACACTCACCGATATGCTCCCATCACTCGCTCACCGACGTACAGTCGTTTCCTTATCACCCTTCTATAGCTATTATCATGGTCAATCTTCATATATATTTACCCTGTTAATTCTTCCTCCTATGTTGAGCGTTCATTCAACCAGCCTGTTACATCCCATCCATACTACGTTCAAACGCCACACTGCCGGTGGGGTGAGCAAAGCGTCGCTCTCCCTGTTGATATTGGGTGGAACCAACGGCTTAAAGTGGCTCCAAGATACGTAAACTCCGGGACCTCGTCGTGGTATTCATCACTGCTGCCACTCACCTCGACCACAGGGGCACCCACCCAATCAGCCAACCGAGTGGGGATGCGGTTAAGATGTGGACATATCACATCAGCCCCAACGCTTCGTAACGTCGCTTTTGCGTGGGCATTTAAAGAGGGCAGTTCAGCCGCTTATTAGGAAGTTAGAGAGGAGTTCCGTGTTTGTAAGGTCCTTGTGCTTCCCGTCTTAGACCCTCAAATCATTGGGGGTACCATCGGGAAAGTCATTTATCAGGTCTCTGCACAATCTGATAATTGACTGTGTCAAAACTGTATTGACTGCGCCTAGGGTTTGTATGCATATACTGTATGTTGAACTTATTTCGCACCGTACGTAGCCAACCACGCTAATCGAAGGTGCGGGGGAAGGATAACAAACTAAACACAAAAAGCAGTAATAAATAAATTAGCTTTCAATGTAGATTGAAAAGTGCATAGCTCCAGTGGCTTCCTAATATCGGAAGACCATTCCAGACTGCTGAATAAGGGCATCCGAAAGCGCCGCACGATGCAGTGACCCCACCGTCTTTCTTCGATTTGTTATCCAAGGATGATTCTGGCACAGAGGTCGCAAACGGGTTTTGATTCCTTACTCGTACCCAGCCGCACCAGGGTCGCAAACGGGTACCCGTACCCGGCTGGGTACGGGTAGCTGGGTATCGGGTAGGGTACGGGTATCGGGTACTCGGTCGCGACCTCTGTTCTGGCGTTTGCGTGATGGTTCGTGCACTCCTTGACAAAGCCAGCAAGGTAATAACACTGCCTTATAAGGAATATGTATATATGTAGTAGGCAACGGGGAGAGGTGAGACGCTACCTGTGGCCTACGTGCGGTGCAGGGCCACTGCTTGACACGTCACCTACTGCTGTTTATTACTTCGAAGGCCACACTGTTTATTGACAAAAGTTTTTGCATTTTCAAAATTCCGTCTCCTTTACACTACACCCATGGACAGCCTCCTCGACGCGGCGTGCCGCACAGCACGGGTTATTTGACCATACTTCCCCCCCCCCCCCACATTGCCGGTCAGTGCAGATTTAAAGGCAGGGGGAACGTGGGCACGTGCGCATCATAAGACGTACAATGCAACCATTGACTTGACCACTCAGCTGGCTCTCAGATGGTTTTAAACAAGTAGTGTATCGTGGAGTAGCGTGGGGGCCGGCGGCATGTCCTTGTGGCAATAGGCGTTCGCTGCTTGTTGCAGAGGTTGGTAGTTTTTAATGCAGCGGCCGCCCTGATTAATACTGCGGGTATAATAATAGCCGGAGCAGCATGCTTCACATTGGACGTTAAGGACCCCCACCAAACCACACCCCCTGATGCCAATCGTAAGCGTTAAATATCTAACGTGTACACATTTGACAAATTCCAAAATCGCCCACACATTACTCAAATGGGATTCAGCAATTTGCGGAAATCGTCAGACTAATGCCCCCGGGATAGCTCTTGCAAATGAGACTCATCTCACGCCTCTTGTTCACCTTCCCACCTGGTTACATCAAACTAACTTAAACTAAATGGGTTTGATGCGCCGTCCTCTGCAGATCGTGTCGCCCCCACAGGGCCACCCACAGCAGTAGCAGCAGCGGCTGTCTGTTACTCTTTGGTGGTCACCCATTCCACAGCACTGAACGCGTTAAAAAAGCGAAAATATTACATTCCCTGATAGCGGGCCGTGAGTCTATCACGTGGGAAACGCACTGTTGACGATACCCAAAGATTGCTTATGTTGTTTTATCGACCCCAGGAGGGATAACGGGCTGAATTGTATATCTGTCAAGCCATATTATGGTTTACTCGTATTCTTGTACAGGGAAATTTAGTTTAGGTCCATACGGCATAGCTGTTTCAATACTGGCAATATATATATATATTTGCCTATTTGTGTGTTTATATCTTGTGATGGGACTTTGTAGGATAAACGTTGATATTTATAAGTGTGACCAATCAAGTCTGACATAGTCTGTAATAAGGGGTTGACAGGTATGGAATTGCAAGCACGACCCAACCAAACTCTAATCTCTCTCAGTTTCCGATGACGCAGTGGCGATGTGGCCAGAGGCAGCGACCACTCGGAACACCGACATCCGCTCCTGCACTGGAGACCCACAATCGCCGCCGCACGAATCACGCGCCGCCTCGGCTCGAGCGGCTACCCGGGACGATGTAGCGGGCACTTGATAACAGCGCCACTCTCGTAGTGCACTACACCACCACCACTGGTAGTGCACTACACCACCACCACTCTCGTAGTGCACTACACTATCACCACACTGGTAGTGCACTACACCACCACCACTGGAAGTGCACTACACCACCACCACCACCACCCTCGCAGTGCACACCACCACCACTGGAAGTGCACTACACCACCACCACTGGAAGTGCACTACACCACCACCACTGGTAGTGCACTACACCACCACAATGGAGTGCACTACACCACCACACTGGTAGTGCACTACACCACCACCACACTGGTAGTGCACTACACCACCACCACTCTCGTAGTGAACTACAGCACCACCACACGTAGTGCACTACACCACCACACTAGTAGTGCACTACACCACCACACTAGTAGTGCACTACACCACCACCACTCTCGTAGTGAACTACACCACCACCACTCTCGTAGTGAACTACAGCACCACCACACGTAATGCACTACACCACCACCACTGGTAGTGCACTACACCACCACACTGGTAGTGCACTACACCACCACCACACTGGTAGTGCACTACACCACCACCCTGGTAGTGCACTACACCACCACCACGGTAGTGCACTACACCACCACTCTCGTAGTGCACTACACCACCACCACTGGTAGTGCACTACACCATCAGAACTCTCGTAGTGCACTACACCACCACTGGTAGTGCACTACACCACCACCACTGGTAGTGCACTACACCACCACTCTAGTAGTGCACTACACCACCACCACCACTGGTAGTGCACTACACCACCACCACCACTGGTAGTGCACTACACCACCACTCTAGTAGTGCACTACACCACCACCACCACTGGTAGTGCACTACACCACCACTCTAGTAGTGCACTACACCACCACCACACTAGTAGTGCACTACACCACCACCACCACTGGTAGTGCACTACACCACCACTACTCTCGTAGTGAACGCAGCGGAACGCGGAAGCTAAAATCGCGGCCGCGCCCGCGCGCCGCTCCCACGGCTCCACGACTGCGGGGACGAGGCCGCGCAGTCCGCCAGTTCGCCACCGAGCCCCGCGCCACCGAGCCCCGGGCCGTGGCCGGTGGCCCTCGCAGCCCCGACCGGGGGCGATTTATCGCCCACGAAACGCACGAAACGACCCGAAGCGGCCCCGCCGCGCCCTCACCATGGCTGCGTTCCGTCTCCTCCCGTGCCGCGCGCTCACTGCGCATGCGCGCCCCGCCTGATTGACCCCCCCCCCCCCCCCACGAGGCACGGACCGAACCACTTTGCCCTGGCGCCGGGGGGGGGGGTAGAATCCCTACAATTGTTTATATTCCTACAATTACCAACAATTGTTGCTGAATTCAGACATGTCTATCTGGTGGCTTCTGCTTTACTCTTGTAAATTAACTGTAAACCATGTAGTTGCACAGCGATGGCGTAAAATGAGAAATTATCTGTTTGTAATTAAAGCGGCACACTTTACTTTAGGCGCCCCCCCTATGCGTGTAATGGGGAACGCCGCGTATTTTAAAAACATACCCCGTATAAGGCGAAACCCGCCCCCATTCGCGAACGCTATTGGTCCAATCGCACCGCGTGACCGGCTGCACGACCCAACCGCGTATTTGAAAACGTAATACGGATTAACAAACCCCACCTTCGATTGGCTCAATGGGCGGCACGTGACACGCGGAGGCGGCTGCGATTGGCTGTGGCGCGCGCGGAAAGAAAGCGGCCGAGAGGCAGAGCGAGAGGGGACCGCGGGCAGTGGGGACTGCGGGCCGGGTGAGCGTGGGCCCTGGGTCCCTGTGAGTGTGGGCCCTGGGTCTCTGTGGCCACGGTGTGGAGTTGGGATCTGGGTGAGCGTGGGCCCTGGGTCCATGTGACCACCTTGTGGAGTTGGGATCTGGGTGAGCGTGGGCCCTGGGTCTCTGTGGCCACCTTGTGGGGTTGGGATCTGGGTGAGTGTGGTCCCTGGGTCTCTGTGACCTCCTTGTGGGGTTGGGATCTGGGTGAGCGTGGGCCCTGGGTCTCTGTGACCGCCTTGTGGAGTTGGGATCTGGGTGAGCGTGGGCCCTGGGTCTCTGTGGCCACCTTGTGGGGTTGGGATCTGGGTGAGTGTGGGCCCTGGGTCCCTGTGACCACCTTGTGGGGTTGGGATCTGGGTGAGCGTGGGCCCTGGGTCTCTGTGACCACCTTGTGGGGTTGGGATCTGGGTGAGTGTGGGCCCTGGGTCTCTGTGACCGCCTTGTGTGGTTGGGATCTGGGTGAGCGTGGGCCCTGGGTCTCTGTGACCTCCTTGTGGGGTTGGGATCTGGGTGAGCGTGGGCCCTGGGTCCCTGTGACCACAGTGTGGGGTTGGGATCTGGGTGAGCGTGGGCCCTGGGTCTCTGTGACCGCCTTGTGGAGTTGGGATCTGGGTGAGCGTGGGCCCTGGGTCCCTGTGACCTCCTTGTGGAGTTGGGATCTGGGTGAGCGTGGGCCCTGGGTCTCTGTGACCACAGTGTGGGGTTGGGATCTGGGTGAGCGTGGGCCCTGGGTCCCTGTGACCTCCTTGTGGAGTTGGGATCTGGGTGAGCGTGGGCCCTGGGTCCCTGTGACCGCCTTGTGTGGTTGGGATCTGGGTGAGCGTGGGCCCTGGGTCCCTGTGACCTCCTTGTGGAGTTGGGATCTGGGTGAGCGTGGGCCCTGGGTCTCTGTGACCACAGTGTGGGGTTGGGATCTGGGTGAGTGTGGGCCCTGGGTCCCTGTGACCGCAGTGTGGAGTTGGGATCTGGGTGAGTGTGGGCCCTGGGTCTCGGTGACCGCCTTGTGGAGTTGGGATCTGGGTGAGTGTGGGCCCTGGGTCCCTGTGACCACAGTGTGGGGTTGGGATCTGGGTGAGTGTGGGCCCTGGGTCTCTGTGACCACCTTGTGGAGTTGGGATCTGGGTGAGTGTGGACCCTGGGTCTCGGTGACCGCCTTTTGGGGTTGGGATCTGGGTGAGTGTGGACCCTGGGTCTCGGTGACCTCCTTGTGGGGTTGGGATCTGGGTGAGTGTGGGCCCTGGGTCCCTGTGACCACAGTGTGGGGTTGGGATCTGGGTGAGTGTGGGCCCTGGGTCTCTGTGACCACCTTGTGGAGTTGGGATCTGGGTGAGTGTGGACCCTGGGTCTCGGTGACCGCCTTGTGGGGTTGGGATCTGGGTGAGTGTGGACCCTGGGTCTCGGTGACCTCCTTGTGGGGTTGGGGTCTGGGTGAGCGTGGGCCCTGGGTCTCTGTGACCGCCTTGTGGGGTTGGGATCCCAGTGAGCAGGATCTGGACTTGGGGAGCCGTGCTGTGGTGTGTGAACTGAGCGAGTTTTCTGAGACTTGTGAGTGTTGTGCTGTGTGTGTGGGAACCGGTGTTTAAGTGCGCCGTCTGGGCGTCTGTCTAAAAAAAAAAAGCTTCGTAGCTCATCGGATTCCTCCAGTACGGTATAAAGATCCTGTGTGTGTGGTGTCTCTTGAAGGCGTACGTGGGGGGCGGGGAGCCGCGGTCGCCATGAGCGAGCTCAAGGAGTGCCCGCTGGAGTTCCACGATTTCCGCGCCGTGGAGCACACGCGGCAGTGCCCGCGCTACACGGCCGTGCTGAGCCGCCCGGCCGAGGACGGCGTGGGCCCCGAGGAGCTGGACACGCTGCAGCTCGAGCTCGAGACTCTGCTGGCAGCGGCGTCGCGCCGCCTGCGCAACCTCGAGACGGAGATCCAGGTGTGGTGGTGGTGGGGTTGAGGGTGGTCGGTGGTGGTGGAGGTGTTGGGGTAGAACCGGGCTGGGGAGCGAGAGATGGGATGAGTGGAGGAGGAGGAGATCCCAGGTGAGGAGAGAGTGGAGGGGTGAGCGGAGAGATGGGATGAGCGGAGGAGAGATCCAGGCGAGGAGAGGGTTGAGAGTGCAGGGGTCAGAAGAGAAGAAATCCAGGAGTGGGACAGGATAAGTGAAGGAAGAGATCCCAAGTAAGGAGAGAGAGTGGAGGAGTGAGGGGAGGGACCAACAGACTGAGACCCCGGTGAATAAAGGGTGAGCAGAGACATGGGGTGAGCAGACGAGAGATGCAAGTGAGGAGAGTGGTGTGACACAGATGAGGGGATGGTGATGAGTGAGCTGGTGGTCCTAATGAGGTGCAGGGAGAGACCCAGGTGATGAGGGGTCGCGAGGCGCGGCTGGTTAAGGGGATCTTTCAGTCGTGTTTTGAGCCACGAATGCATTTGCATACCTGTCAACTCATACGGTTTACCTGTATTCTTGTACAGGGAGGTTTCAGGTCCATACGGCGTACAGCCGTTTCAATACAGGCATTTTTTTTGGTCTATTTGTTTGTGTATCTCCCTTGTGGTGAGACTTTGTAGGATGAACGTTGAGATTTATAAGGGCATGGGGTGACCAATAAAGTCTAAATTGGTCTGTGATGAGGTAGGCACTCATAAGGGGTTTAAAGGTATGGCACCATGACCATGACCCCTCCCTTGCCCCCCCCCCCTCTGTTGTGGTGCCGCACAGATCCTGACCGACTGGCAGGATCGTAAGGGCGATAAGAAGTTCACGAAGGCGGCCGAGCACGTGGCATCCTCCACAGGCAAGCACGGAGGCAGCAAACCCAAGAAACAGAAGCCGGACAGCAAGGGGAGCCATGGGTGAGTGCTTGCGGGGGACCTTACTACCAGCCAGTCTTCGAAACTACACACAATAATCATACCTGTCAACCCATACCGTTTACCCGTATTCTTGTACAGGGAAATTTAGTTTTGAGTTCCATATGGCGTACAGCCGTTTCAATACGGACAAAAAAAGTGTCTTCGTTTGTGTTTCTCCCTTGTAATGGGACTTTGTGGGATGAACGTTGAGATTTATAAGGCCACGAGTTGACCAATAAGTTATGAATTGGTCTAATAAGGTAGGCACTGATAAGGGGTTGACGCCATCTCACTTGCGCGCGCGTCTCCTACCAAACGCGACTTCATGGGCGCGGTGGGTGACCCCGCTTGTGTTTGCACGGAGACGTTTATCACGAGCAGAAAATGTAAAAGATCTGAAAACCCCAAAAGAGGTGTGAAATTGTCCTTAAATATCCCAAAATCCTAAATGTTTTCATCCACAACTCATCCCTAGACTTTCTTGATGTTTCTGACCCAGGTTTCTCTTGACAACGTCTCAATGCCTCTCGTGTACACGTACAGTCTGTTGTCCCGTTAAGCGTGTTGTTATCATAACGATAATTGGATATAACGCCATGAATATATTAAGGAACATATGTTTTGTTATGCCGCGGATGTGAATTGGATATAACATGAAAGAGAGAATGGAACTACGTCGCGCGAGTAGGAATAAGCAGCTGTACGGCTGCTTCGTCGTAGCGTGACCACACAAGGCATTTGGATGCTTCTAGATGCTACCCACGCGCCTCAATCTTTGTTTGGCCTGCATACGCATCTCACGTGTTATTGTGTACTGCTTTACGCCCTCTATTATATATTAATTATTATAATGCGATTTTCCCATAACGCGGTGTTCTTCAGGAACGGAATTACTGTGTTATAGGAGAACAGACTGTCCAGCCCTTTTTCCCACTGCTAGCTGAGGGCCTCCTCACTCCACACGGGTTGTGGCGGTAATTTGACCATACTTCACCATGCTGGCCAGTGCTGTTTGGTGAAGGCGCAGGGAGCATCGTAGAAGTTTGGTACAACAATCGGCTTTTCTTATCTTCCCCTCTTTTCGGTGGCTCATGCCTGGTTTTAAACATCATCTGCATTTATCTGAATGAATGTCATCTACCCGTCAATTCCTCCGAACGCTGCTTGGCCAGAGATGGCTGCAAAAATCTCATTCAAAGTTTAGACCAGAAATTGGCCGGCACGTGCTCGCGCGTCAGACAAAATACGCCCTTCAAAGTTGTTGTTTTTCATTCAACAACGCGAGGATGTTTTTGGAGACACAAAGTCACCTGAAATATGGGACGAGCCTGGCTCAACCTCTGGCTCCCCTCGGGAGGTTCGGCCTTCCGTCGTTTGCTGACGCTAAAGTGACCGGTGGTGGGGGGCGGCGTGGTGCCGGTAGCGATGCCGAGACCGTCGGTGCGGGTCGCAGGCACGGCTCGGCGGGGACGGGGGGCGCCCACGGGGCGGGGGCAGGCGGTGGGGGCCATGGGCCTGGGCGGCCCAAGACCAAGAACCTCCAGCCCAAGTTCCAGGAGTACGAGTTCCCAGACGACGTGATGGACGAGCCCCGGGCGCCCAAGAACGACGCGCCCAGCCGGTAGCACGCGCACGTAGCACGCACATGCGTACTCGCAAAATGCGCGCACGCGTGCACACGCATACGTGCATGCTATGGCGCGCACAAAAATCCACACATTTTTAACCCACATTTACACACGCCCGAAGCACACACATCCACCAACTAAACGTCGGGTTTACTCTCCAACACAGCGGTGTGCTGAACTAGTAACTAATTAGCACGTTTTTGGTTACGTGACAAACCTTACTAATTGGCCGTGTCGAGTGGTGGCAGGTTTAACGACACATTCATATTTACGCAATCTAACCCAAAAAAACCCAAAAAAAACTTTATTATGGATGACATTGGTCGCGAAAGCCTACCATGTGTTAAACTGATGCACAATTTCACGAACGTATGCGCGCACAAGCAACTGTAGGCTCACGCTCACATATACATACATGCACGCACATGCATACAATTACACACGTACACGGCCATATATGCACGCGTGCGCAAATACGAACGTGTTTGCCGACACACATAGTTACACACAGGGACACCCGTATTTTCTCTCAAGTGCGCACAACAAAATAAAACGAGGATCCCTTCCCTGTCAACAGACTATTAGCTCACTGCACTACAAACCCGGTGGCCTATGTAACATTCCCACTTGATAAATATTTTAACTCTTTCTGGGCCTCCCCTAGGGCGATTCAGCCTTTAATTGGTTCCTGGTGCGTTGTGTAAGCATCAGCATTGGGGAGACGATAGCAGCCAGGCGTAGTGCTGGCCACCCACCTGTTTGTTTGCTGTATGGCCTTCATTAGGGTGCTCGCTAACAGCACTTGCCCCACCAGTCTGTTAACGCTATACAGGGGAATCTTTGTCTTTTGCGCGTGATGCACAGCTTCTGGGCGTCAGTGGAGCCGTACTGTGCCGACATCACGGCCGAGGAGATCCGAGTCCTGGAGGAGCTGCTCAAGGTTCCGGAGGATGAGGCCGAATACTACAAGGTGAACTCCCACCCAGGAGTCACCCTGGCGGGCGGTCCCAGGCGCTGCCCCCCCCCCCCATCTCCATGCGTTGCTCATTGCACGTGTGCGTTGGCTGGGCCGTCGTAGGTGCTCGCTATCAGCACTTGCCCCAGCAGCCTGTTTCGGCTTTAATGGGGGGGGGGGGGGGTTCTTATTTTAGCTGGGTCATGTAGCCCATGCCAGCCACCACTTGCCCCAGCAGCTTTCGATTGGATGGATAGAGGGGATGAATTGATGTGGCACGGACTAGAGAGGAAATGGGCTGATCTGGTACAGGCGGGTGTGGAGCTGAGTGAACTAGCCGCCGACCGATGCCAGCGGTGTCAAGATCGCCCTCTGTAGAGGAGGCTCGTGAGGGATGCCACTGGACTGTTGGAGGCTGTCGCCCTCCAGCAATAACAACGGGCAGAGTTCTGGGCGGCTAAAACGTTGCAAGGTAGCGCAGTTGGGAGCACTCGTGGTGCATCTGCCAGTCATGTCAGTCTGCCAATAACACACGGGTCTGTCCTGTGACCTGCCAATGATCCTCTGACGCTTTACGTGCAGCTCGCCTTGCATGAGCGCTGTAGTGGCATCACTGCTGCTTCGTAGAAAAGGATGGTTTTTGGGGGTCTGTCAGTATCTGTGTTGGGATTGTAGTCGGGGCTCATATAACGTGTTGTGGGCTCATGTCGGTGTGTTTTGTTGTGTGTGTGTGTGTGTTGGAGGGCAGGTCCCCCCGCTGGGCAAACACTACTGCCAGCGCTGGGCGCAGGAGGACCTGCAGGAGGAGCAGAGGGACGGCGCTCGCCCTGCAAGCGCGGCCGACAGGAAGAAGGGGACCCAAGGCACCCTGGGAAACACAGGTCAGGGGTCATTGGCACCAGAAGCGCTAATTTTTAAAGGTGTGTGGCCACAGCCACCGTCGGATTCTCAGTGCGGACGTTTTTCCGGAGCGCGGCAGGAACTGTGCGTGCGTGTGCAGAGGTGGACAACCTGATGCGGCGTAACGATGCGGGGACGCAGAACGAGCAGCCGGAGGACGCGTGCCCGTTTGGGCCGCTCACCCAGCGCCTGGTGCAGGCCCTCGTGGAGGTAATGGCCGGGTCCACCCCTGAGCAATTGGTTGTGCTTCTTGGTTGCCTGCAACCAGAGACGACGTCCACATTATAAGCAGGCGATTCGTTCGTGCGACCTGATTGCTCGGGCGTGAATATGCTGTCGACGGCCGTGGGTGCCACGCGCAGGGCAAAAAGCAACGTTCTTCACTGTGGCCCTTCCTGCCGGTAGTGTGATCATCATCACCGTCATTTATTGTTTACAGCCAGCAGTGCACCCACATGTGGCTCTATCGAAGGGGCATAACGTAGAACGTACTATCACAGTGGTAGAAAATAATTATGAATGTCTGCCGAAAACTGTCATTATATATACACATGTAAAATATACACACTTGGCTATTTTCAGAACTCATGGGTACTTGTTGGCTCTTGGCCTTTTACAGGTTGGCCACCCCCGGTTTATGGCCTCCCTCCCATGATGCAGTACATCTCAAAGTGCCAGTGGAGTCATGACTCGTATTCATTCACCAGATGGCCATAAAGTGGTAATACAGCAGTGGGTTCTCAAATCCGTGGGGACGTTTTGAAAATATTACTCCCTTGTGTGCCTGTGGTTACTGTGGGTACTGTGGTTCTCGCAAGGATGCAAAACTTGCCATTTATGGAATTGGTCAAAGGACCCAAAGTAGTAAGACCCTCCTAAACAGAGTCTCAGGACTCGGCAAGGCTTTCCCAGGTAAAAATATCAATGGCATTGTTGCTGAGCACACAAGGCTCTGCTGAATCTTGATTTGAAGCTTTCGTAACTGCAGGTATCCATACTCTTTAGTTATTTCGGTAAAGTCACGTAGTTAGAAATACAAATCACGACGTTTCGATTGCAACACAAGCAATCATCATCATCAGGTGGGAAAACCACAGAACAGATGTGTGAAAACCCTCCCCGTAGAGGTGGTCGTGATTTGTATTTTTAACTACGTGACTTTATCGAAAGAACCAAAGAGTAAGGCTCTGCTGGTTGTAACGATGGTGTCCGCCTTGCAGGAGAACATCATCTCACCCATGGAGGAGTCTCCGATCCCGGAACTGGCCAGCAAGGCCAGTGAAGGGGATGGGGCGGCCACATCCCCCCGCAGCCAAGCCAAGCCCTTCAGGTAGGCGTGTGTGTGTGTGTGTGAGGATCTGTATCGCTCCATGTTTGTTCGATGGACTGGTTACCAGCAGTGTCAAGATAGGCCTCTGGAGGAGAGCCATAAGCAACAATGGCGAGTGGTTAACCTTTTGAACTATGTAGCTCTTTTTCAGAAGCGACCTGGCCACAAATGAAAGCTCAACGAAGTGGCTTATCACGTGGATATTTATAGCAGCAAAATACTCTAAACGCACGTTTCTAAATGTTAGGGAGAAACCGGAGTACCCGGAGAAAAATCCACATGGCCACGGGGAAACTCCAAATATACAGCAGGCGTCAGGGTCGTGATCGAACCCACGACCTCCTGTGTACTGAGCGGGGTCGTTAAAATCTCGTCAATTAGTTACTAGTGTGCTTGAGAGTATACCTATAACATTTACAATTACCTTGAATCCCCTTGTTTACATGACAAACCTCACTAATTGGCTGTGTTGGGTGGTGGCAGGTTTAACGACACATTTATATTCATGCGATCTAACCCGAAACACCTCTTACAGATAATATTGGTCACGAAAGCCTACGTGTTAGACTAAACATCTCTCCACCGCGTAGTTAACATCTCGCCAGAGCAGAGGAGCGACCCTCACAGCAATGATCCTGGTGACCCAAATTCCATTCCCATGCTCACTGACAGCACCTGAACCACCAGTCTGTTCATCTCTATCTCAGAGGATCTTTGTCTTTGTAACGTGCGCCTGCGAGCGCCGTACCGGCGTGCAGGACCTCACGTGTCTGATGTGCGTTGGTACGTGTGCGTGCGTGTGCGCGCGCTGGCCCACCTCAGCGTGCCGCACACCAAGTCGCTGGAGGCGCGCATCCGGGAGGAGCTGCTGGCGCAGGGGCTGCTGGACTCGGAGGGCCGCGGCGGGGAGGACTCCGAGGACGAGGTTCTGGCCGAGCTGCGCAAGCGGCAGGCCGAGCTGCGTGCCGTCACGGCGCACAACCGCGCACGCAAGCAGGACCTCCTGCGGTGAGGCCCTGCTTACTCAAATGAGCATTGGTGCATTTGTGCTCGTCTCAGACTGCTTTTTGTGTTTAGTTTGCTGTCCTTCCCCCCCCCCACACCTCCGATTAGTGCGAAAGAAGTTCAACATGCATACATACATCTCCTGCTTACAACTCTTTGAGCCGGTGGTAGAAATTCTACATTTCAATGGCGGGGACGAGTGTCTGTCCGTAGAACAAACCAACTGTTTGACTTTCCCACAAAGTGGTACTTGTTTTATAAGGCCCCCAGAGGGATGATGCGCCGAGCAAACCCCAACCGGGATTTGTCCTGGTGACCTTCCCGTTGTGAGCCGCTCGCTCTACCGCTAAAGCCACCTCACCAGATTGCCCATCCCCACCAGAGCGGATCGATTCATCCCACTGGGACATTTGTTGAATTGTCGCAATTTCAGAGTCGTGGATCAATTAATGAATGGTTTTGTTTAACTTAGTGGTGAACGGCTCGCGCCTCTCGCGGTGGCATGGGCAACGTGAACTTAGCTGCGTGCGACGTATCATCCGCGCAATGGGACCACGTCTATCCGCTGCTGGATGAGAACCTCCCAAAGCCCGTCGCCATCTCTCCCGTGGTGTTTCGCTTTGATGGCCAACGTCGTGCCGGCAGTTGGGTCGATTTCATTCCTCTTAGCCCCTGCGGTGGTCGTCCTCCCCGGCACACCGCTTCCCTTCCCTGGCAACGTTCTTGGCCGCTTATCGTCGTATCCCACTCACGTGCCCAGGCCCAAGCACTTGGCTTGACGGTCAATGTGATATCTTTTTTAACCTCCGTTTGTTTGTTCTCTACTGTGTGTGTGTCGTTTTTATATTTTTGGGAACAACAGCATTACACAATTCAATGCACGTGTTACAAGCTTGAGAATACATTTTAGTCTGTTAACCCTTACCCATTCCGATGACGTACGTCATCAGCTTTCCTCCGATTCTGCTCCGATGGACGTACACGTACGTTACGTACGTCATCAGAACGGATTCAAAATTAAAAGGCCACGCGGGAGGGGCGTGTGTGGCACAGTTTGGCGCCAGCTATTGTAAAGTTGCGGTCGTGTCGCTACGGTTCTCCGCCGTGAGTAGCGACGTCTTTAAAAACAGCGGCGCTACTATGACGCCTCTCTAAGTAGAATGAATGCCGAGCCGCTTGCGCATTCACGAGATTCGGCGGTGAACGGGGACAGCCACACGATGCAGACGTCTCGGAACGGGAAAGTCTGTAATATTCTAATAAATAATAACAATCCTTACAATTACGTTGCGCCTGTAACGTAGCTCAAAACGTCTAATGGCAGCTGTCCAACGTGTGCAGTGTGAACCTGAACACGGCACCGGCATGCAAGTGGCCACCGGTCTGCCAGCAGGGGGTGATGTTTCTATTGGTCGTTCCAATTTAAGTAAATTTGCGGTGTAATTTTTCTAATCTCGCACTAATGGACCGACGACTCCAGCGCACACAGCCTACTGCTTTTGTTAAATAACATCACGGGAGACTTCACGTCCCATCGCGAAGCAAGCCTCTTCGTTGTACAGTAACACCCCGATTTACGTTTCCCCATTTTTACGTCATTTCGCAAGCACATCGTCGTTGTGTTACTAACACAGCTACCCAATTTGCGTCGCCTCAACCCCACACACTCGCGTCGCCGACAGCATCGTCTGTCCTTTCTCGTTATCCATTGTCCCTTCACTCGCCCCACCACCGTACTGCTACCCTGTAAACCGCTCCGAATGACGTCGTTTTGATATTCTTTGTCGCACATTTACAGGGACCCAATCCCCTGACGTAAACCCAGGGGGGTTGTATTACTCGTACATTACGGTTAATATACCGGCGGTATTAACCAGGCCAGCCGGGGCGGCTTGACCTGCCAATCCATGCAACAAGCGGTGAATGCGCCACCGCTGGACACACGTGTCTCTGCCCCCGAGGTTGGGGTTGACGTGTACCGTGACGCGTCTTCTCGGGCAGGATGGCGCGGGAGGAGATGCGGCGTCAGGAGCTGCGCGCCCGCGCTCGCGTGGCCGACACGGAGGTGATGGAGGCCTACCGGCGCATCATGGGCGCCCGGCAGAAGAAGCGGACGCCCACCAAGAAGGAGAAGGAGCACGCCTGGAAGGTGCTCAAGGAGAGGGAGAGCATCCTCAAGCTGCTGGATGCGTGAGGACGGCAACGGGTTGGGCGGGGGAGGGGGGAGAGAGGCCATCGCCGCGTCGTCGGCCCTCCGGGGCTCGCGCCTGCGCCGTTGTTTCCGCGAGGGGAGATGTTGGCGTCCCGGGGGCGTGGAGGTGATGGCGGTCGCGTGCCGATCCTCGCGTGTGTCGCGTCACGATTTGACGGGTTCGCGATTCCGTTAAACGGTCAGTTCGTCTCGTTTTTGAGCGTCTCGTCGCGTTGCCTCCTTTTCGTTTGTACAGTTTTATTTACCCCCCACTCGCCGACACTTGTAACGTGAGCGCGTCGTCTGTATAGTTCGCAAGTCGCGACTTCTCACGCACGATTTAGATAACGTGTGCATCTTGAGAACAGGAATCGATTTGAACCCGATGCACCGTTACATGCCCGGTGGGTAGGGTGCTAGGCAATCGTCTTGCTGCGTTTCCACGACCCCGAAGAAGACGGCTCATTGGCCCAGGAATGGTCCTGGAGGCCTCTAACATTACATCCCATCCCCTCCTGTGGCCTGGGAGGGAAGAGATAAGAGATACAAATAATGCAGGCCTGGTGTGTGTTAGGAGTTCCCAAGTAAGTGTCTTGATTTATACTTCTCAGCCGTGTTTTAGATGTGCACGGCCCCGAAACTAAGTTCAGCGATGGGCACCAATCACCACACCTCTCGCTTCCTCGTTGAAGCCACGATGCCACCGCTGGTTTCCAAGGGCGGGCCCGGCTAACGGCGTGCAGCTCGCAAGCGAGCCAAGCAGAGGCCCTGCACGCAGGTCGGTCAGCTGGGCCCGGTGAAGCCAGTGTGGGAATTTGGCCTGAGCCAAGTTGCCCGGCTCGCGAACAAACCGGCACGCTTCCCAGTGGCAGTGGAAAAGGCAGCATTGGTATTGGTGTGAGGGTTTAGAGTCTCGGCTAGTGCTCGTAGCATTAAGAAAAGGTCAGGTATTAACCTCACAGGTAACATCATTAGGAGTTGGGGGCAGGGTTAGTGCTGTTTTAAGGGGTTAGGGTATCTCGGTAGTTCTGTGCCGTGTATTGAGGTAGTGGTAGTGTTTTGCAAGAAGGTTTTGGGGTTGTGGTTTTTGCGCAGGTGTTAGGCGTTCGGTTGTGGATATTTGGCGAGCCATCGGGACCCCGCGCGTGTATAGCCTCGTCCTCCACAAGTAGCGTGTGCGTGCGGTGTGGTCGGTGTGTGAGTGGTTTCTACCTTCGTGTATGTGTGTGGTTTGTACTTCACTTTGAGTGTGGTCGCAACCAATGTGTGGTTTATAACAGTGTGGTCAGTACCCGGGTGGTTGGTATTTGTGGTCGGTTTGTACTCGTCTGTGTGATTTAGTGTCCGTGAGTGTGGTTGGTTCCTGAGTTTTGGTACCTGGTGTGTGGTTGACGTCGGAGTGCGGTTCTGTGGTTCTGCTCCACGTGGGTTGCACATGACAAGTTAAAACAAGAGCAATGTCGAGTTGCTGAACACTTAATAAATATTTTTGAAATCCCAAGCGCTTGCCGTGAATCCCACAAATACGTGCCGCTTTAAATACGGCTGCAGCTCGGCCTCGTAGAAGAGCGTGGTGTATTATTAGTCGAAGGTCGTGTGAACGAGTGCGTTAGGTGAGATCGTACACAGGCGAATGTGTTGTGTGTCGAGTGTGTGTCCCAATTGACTGTGTGGGAATTAATGTCTCCGGGACGAGTGACAAACTTTCTGGGGGGAGGGATCGTTTTCTACTTTGGTTGCCACCCCGTCGTTAATCTTGACCATCGGTCTGTTGTATACTAACCCTTCTTCCAAAATTGAGATTAATAATATTTGATGATTTTTATATATTATCTTTTTACTTGTTTTTTTAATGAATGAAACACACCAAAAGCGCAGCAAACTGCAAAACACCAGGTGTTGTTAAGTAATGAACTGGAGGAGGGCTAGGATGGCAGAATTTGCAACCTTGCTTCAAGGAAAGATAAGGCCTGATGAACGGGCACATGTCACCCGTGCAGGCGGCAGAGACAGTGGGAGTGTCAGCCAGACATAGTTAAGGCAAAAAGCCCAACCATCCTACATGGTTTTAAAGTAACGTCAAAATTCGAAATTCAACAACAGAGTAGGCTAAAGTATCGATCCTCGCGCTCGCTCAAATTGGAGACCAGGCTGCGAGCTACATCAATGAACCATTGCCATTTGCTAATCCAATACTGAATGTTAATATTACTGAAGTCAAAACGAATTCTATGACCTCAGCACATGGGCAAATAATAGGGCAGTGTCGACTCAAAGGCAATGGAAGAAACAGAGGCGCCTTTGTCTAAATCACAACCACAGAAAGCCAGGAATCATCACTGATTGTGTGTTTAGGGATTCCGAGCTAGTTGGAACACGTGCACACAGGGGGGAGGTAGAAATACGCCTTGTCCTCCTGCAGCTGAGGGAACGAAAATAAGTGGGTCAGCTCAAGGCTGTGTGCACAGGGGAGGGAGCTGATTTAAACAACCCTGCACGTCTGAACGTGAGGGGGCCTTTGACCTGAAAATTAAGAATAACACTCCCAGAGCAGAAGGTTGGATGACCACAGTGAGACGAGAATAAGAGTGGTGTATATCTCTCAAGGAGGCAGACCCAGCTGAACAACAAGGCTGCGGGGGTCACCAGAAGTTCGCGTTCGCCTAGTTAAAACAAAAAGCTCAATTATTCTGTATTGCTATTAAAGTAACGTTAAAGTCGGAATTTAACAACAGGGTAGGCTAAAGTTTGATATTCACACCCACTCCAATTAAACCAGGTCACAAGTTACGCCTACTGAACCATCACCATCATTAAGTCAATATGAAATGTTATTTCCATACTTTAATACTTTCTATACAACTCGACCCGAAGCATATGACAATCAGAACCTTCCTAAGTTAAAATTGAATCGCACCCAGACAGGAGCGAATAGTCGATATAAGGTTGAAGAGGGAAGGAAATTAAGAGCACGGCGAACTGCAAACGTAAGCAAAAAGCCGGGAACGACCAGCCCAGCAACAGCGAGTCGGGCTTCAACAGGCCATAAATTAAGAATAATAACTCCCGGGGTCAGGGGACATAAGAAGAAGCAGGCAGACAAAAACCAGAACTGACTCCAAGGTTCAACCGCCCTCACACACAAGGAGTGACGGAAATTAATGAGGCCTTGAGTTAACGACGTCAGCTGGACTGCAACAACCACGGCGAGCAGAGATAGGGTGGGGCAAAGACTGCGGGGCTATGGAATGCAACTTCGTGTCAGTAAAGCCCTGACAAACAAGTTAAGTTAAAGACATCACAATACATAATATCGCACATAACATCAATGTTAACGCTATTCACCGTAAACTATATTCCGCTTATATAACCATCCAGGCACCAAGGAATACGAATTCCTAGGATCAAGAAACTTACCCCTTAACCTAAGATATCGGAAATAAATTAATAGTAATAAGTATATGCATGAAAAGACAAAGTAAAACTTATGGAAAAGCCAGGATAACGGGATGAATCACAACCAGGTCGAATATAATACATAATAAAAAAAAACGATGTTAAACCCAGGGTCGGAGAGAAAGGGAGATCCCGGCCGTCTTTGTATCTCCGCAGCGCGGGATAGGAGTGTGTATACGCTCGGGGAAACACCTACACTTGAGTCAAGCACCACGATGGGAAACGACAGACCTTAGGTTACATACAGAATCATAACTGTGAAATAGTAAGGGACAAATGTTAACTTAAAACTTTTTAACCATTTCTTTGTGCGCCGGGTCGGAGAGAGTGTTGCCCCTCCCTCCAGGTTGTGCAACACGAACAAAGACGCCTATGAGACATTTGTAACGTCTGTGTTTTGGGTTCATGAAGAAGGCCAGACAAGAGATAATATTGCACCCAGACAGAGAGACGACCTCGAGGCAATTTGTAACATCTGATTGTTTGCTCGTGGGTTTATGGAGGGAGTGTGACAACGAATATACCGTCAGTGATGCACACAAGGACACACGGACATACGGACAGACACATGGACACACCTGCCTACGGACAGATCCTGACACAGCAAAAATCGGAAGAAGCCCCGCCTTGTGGGCGGGATCCAGGGGGAATTTTCGGCATAAAGTAAAGGATCCTGAGCATTGGAAATCAGTGCGACGGGAGGGTCGACTCAGGAACGAGTGCGACCAGAGTGGGTCCACTCAGGAGTGCGACCAGCGGGTCCACTCAGGAGTGCGACCAGAGGGTCGACTCAGGAGCGAGGGCGACCAGCGGGTCGACCCAGGAGCGAGCTCGACCGGGAGGGTCGACTCAGGAGCGAGCTGCGACCAGCGGGTCGGCTCGACTCATCTTCAGCTCGTCAACCTCTGCCGAACCGGGGGTCTCTGCTGCCACCGGAGTGGTGAGCATCGCTGTTCGACGACAACCCAGAGCTGCACGCTGCGAGCGAGTTGTGGGCGCCACCTACCGACCGGGTTCCGAACTGCGACAGCGTATCAACAGCCATCCGAACCAGTTCGCCACGGTGACAGGGGATCAACTGATACGTATGTCGCGCACCGCCCCCTCACCACACGACCACCAGGCGTCTGTTTGACCTAAAGAATCGACTCCGAACACTGACTATTCAAGACAACTCTTACCACTCAAAAACACTCGAACCCATAAGCCATCCGTGGCTGGAAAGCATCGCAACGAGACCGAGTGATGGCCCTCCGTCGTTTATAAGAGTATTCTTAATTTTTATCTTTAATATTTAGTGGGCTGTACTCTTAATCGCATAAATTCCCAACAGATCCATCAATACGAACTGATTCTTGGCACCTCCTTCCGCCGAGCCACGCTCACGTGGGGAGTGGTGGCCCACCGGATCCTTATCAGGTGATCTGGTCCCCAATTAGTAAACTTGGTATAAGATAACGAGCTTCGGAAAAGGAGCACCGTCGCAGGCCCTTACTCCGAGCCGTTCTGTTGTCAGATAACCTGCCGATGTATCTGTTGAGATTGGTGCCTTTAAGAATAATAACTGTTTTTGATTGTGTTTTTTTCGCCGTATAATCTTTCAAGTATCTTTCAGTCATAATCGCCGCACGTACTCGCATCCTCTACAGAATATTCAACTGTCCCGTGACCCAAGGTGTTAACAACGTGATAAGGGTTGCGTATGGTCAATAAGGAGTGTGGTACTGCGTGAACAATATTGAGTATAATCATTCATTAGCGTTAAGGTTTTCTTAGCATAGTATTTGCATATTTCAACGACTCTCTCTCTCACTAACAACCATCGCGTTATGAACAATATTGAGTATAATCATTCATTAGCGTTAAGGTTTTCTTAGCATAGTATTTGCATATTTCAACGACTCTCTCCCTCACTAACAACCATCGCGTTATGAACAATATTGAGTATAATCATTCATTAACATTAAGGTTTTCTTAGCATAGTATTTGCGTGTTTTAACGACTCTCTCTCTCACTAACAACCATCGCGTTATGCGGGATCCATGTGCAGTTGTCAAAGTGAAATCAGACAATCGTTGATGATACTGTATTGATGCCGTGTTGACGTTCCGGGATTGAGAGTTCGCATATTATATCATAGTTAAGGTTGAATTAGTAATAAATTGATCAATACAGAAGTGGTTGTGTGATTCTTTCCTGAAATCTATGCATAAGATCTGCTTCTGCGTTGAGATTTGAACTTGGTGACCTTAATAAACACACTAATACATACTCAGTAAATGTTAAAGCGATAACGGGGTGAACCGGGGACCTAAAAATATAACCACGAATAAAACTCTGGGAATGTTAAAGCGAGAATGAGACGAACCTAGACAACGATGCCGAGTTAATCTAAGTTAATCTTGCATACTTACACCACACCTGCATAACTGCATACGATTAATTGCCTTCTTCCGATCGATAACCCACCCTCGTCACCGAGGCGGGGTCTGGTTATCATAACGACTTGTATTATCATCATAATTACACCCACTCGCATAATTAATCCGATTACCTCTCGAATTGGCATAATTAAAATGTGCGTAATTACATAAATTAACATATTTCCGGATAATTACACATTTGGCCAGATTTCATTTAATAATTATTATTTTCACTGAATATTCATAACACACAGGTACAACATAATAATTTCACCCACGCACGCATACAACATAACAAATTTTCTTAACCCAACATATACAACATAATGGGGGCTCGTTTTCCGGGATCTCTCGCAGACAGTTTATGCATGAATTCAGGAACGAATCACTGATGTGTTAATCAAAGTGTTGTGAACTAACGTTGCCTTGTGATTGTAAACGGGGGTATACAAACAAAACGCGCTCTGAAGGGAAATACCAGAGTAGCAGAGTATAACAAAGACAGCTGGGCTGAGATTATTTGCTCGAGTTGAACTGACGCATCCTGTGATACAATTGTTTATATGTGCTCTGAAGGGGAATTCTAGAGTAACTCACGACGCACATGAGATGTTAGAATTAA